TTCGCTCGCATGGAAGTCACTACAACTCTGAGCAGCAATAAGGGATCGCATGTTAAAAATAGCTCAGGCTTGCGCGCGCAGCTAAAAATAGATTTTCAAGAAACTTTCATGGTTACAGACCCATGTATGGGAGATGTGCTCTCTTACTTAATATTCTCTTGTTTAGCTCTAATACTGACAATCATAAAATTTCTCAATTATATATCCTCATTGTTTCAGACGACGATTACGACTAGCCATGGAAATAAAGACTGAGGGTTTTCGATACAGTGAATTGAAGGCATGTGCATTATTGTGGTGATAAACGTAGAATTTAACTTTATGGCAGTGACGACAATGATGAATAAGTGATATTCTACTATTTTGGTGCAAACTGTAATTATAAAATATTGACCAACTTACGACTACAAGAAGCTTCTTTAGGATTCGGTCATCCGCGTAAAGACCTTTCGCCGTCACCTCAATTGGTATCTCCCCAAATTTGATTGGCAATAGATTAATAGCATAGGAAACTGAACTCTCCCTTTTGACTTTAATCTTATTGGATGTCAATCTAGACGTTTTTCCTGGTTGAGCCACTGAGCAGAAGCTTTTGTCTCCTTTGAGATATAAGTAGACCTTCGAAACGAATAAAATATCGAAAATAATAAGGAAAGAAAAGGTGCAAAAGGGCAATAGAGGCTTTGCACCATCACGCGATAGCAGCCATGGCAGAAGGCAAGTATAATTGAATATGGTCTAATCTGGCTTACATGAGAAAGATATCAGTTTCTCAGGGGGAGAATCACTTTATTGCTGTCATCACCATGGTGCAAAGCCACTATAATATACAGCGTCAGATTAAATTGGGATTTGGAACACGACTTTTCCAGATCGAGAAAAATCTGGGGAGCCTAGATAATTAAGAAATTAAGAAAAAATGATAGTTTGAAGTTTGAATTAATCGTTTCATCTTAAAATCTAGTTTTTTCATGTAAGGGTTTAAAGTTTTGCTTAAGCATATCTTTCATTATCATTACCGAAATATCATATTTCTTGTAATTAAAAAGAGTTGCCAAGATGGTAATTTCCTCTCCTCGTTGTACAGAATATGGCATGGAAAGATGAATGAAAAAAGGTTTGAAGGTTGTGATGYGAAGTGGCTCAGCCATACCAAAACCAGTTGTATTGGACACTCCTATTGCCTGCACCACCCATGTTGTCATGGTCTCCGGTAAAGAAACAGGTAAGACCGCTGAACCACATTTACTTTGAGGATCTAGATGTAGCTTTTTACAATCTTTGGATTTTGTATCGTCACTGATGAGGAAAAAATGGCAACACGATTATATTGAGAGAAAATAAGATCCAAATAAATCGCCCCCATCCCCCCATCCAAGAAAAAAAAGTTACCTCCATTTACTTATTGTACATGAATTACTAAAATTATCATGCTCATTTACCAACCTTATAACAATTTCCTCATTGAGCCATGTTTCAGGAAAGAACTGACGAAGGGCAATATTGGTAAGATCCTCTTCGTCATTCATAAAGTTTTCTGGCTGACCACTTCTTGCTAGTATTCCAACGTCTTTCGAAATAAAAATATGCTTACGAATTTGTTTGGAAGAAAATTTTGTGAATATTTAATATATGCATACTTGTGTATATTAAAAACAAATCACAAGTAGTACGCGATAATAGTCCTCTTCATATGCTTCTCTTGTGTTCGTGCATCTTGCTTACTGAGTGATTCGTGACGAGACAGGAGAAAAAATAATATTATTATTTAGCACCTACCGTTGTACTGAAAACGGTTTGTGTGACGCACAAGTGCAACATATCTAAGAAGGGAAATATTTGTAGCGGACTATTTTTTCTGTAAAGCAGATATCGTTTTCTGCTGCATGATTGATATTCAGGGAAATAAGAAAGATTGCCAATGAGTAAGGTCAAATGCCTCACTTGAGCCGGAACCTAATGACATCAAAGAAGAACGCCTTTTTGTCCATTGTTTCAATTAGGTTCGGCTCACGTGAGGTTCGACTCTAAGTCGATCAAGCAGATTTAAATCACCACATGGTCAATAATTTCACCTCCTAATCCAAATGCAGTAATACAGCAGTTGAGGTATTTTGTTTTACAATCATGAATTAGCTCTTGGTCTTTTAAAATTCCAACGTCCAACTCCATCACTCGTCTGTAACAGTTTCTATTATTTGGGTCCGTTTCGTTGCCGAGATTACAGCAGAAGTCTAAGTGATCTAGCAAAAAATAAMGTTTCTTTAGTATTTCATCTTTAGTTTTTCATATTAATAGTCTTTCTTAATAGAATTCGCGAAATATGCCGTCATGGTAAAACAGTGTTTTGTTGCGGACGACAAAAGCCAATATACACGAGCACAATCTCTAGCTCAAAGCATGACGAGAATCCGAGAACCTACCGTGTTTCAGCGTAAAAAAAAAAAGAAATTAAAATTCATCTGAACATTTTTCTTTCCACATTTTCTATGGAAATGTAAGTGTTTTTAACAAAAGAAAATAACAGTAATATTTTTTCCAATTTTTCTTTGGACTGATTTTCCTGTTCCATTTTTGAAATACTCGGTTTCCCAGAATGCGGCTTTGTCACTTTGATACACATACAAAAAGCTTCTACATCAATTGTCGAAAACCACGAAGAGAATTTCGCTAGCTATTATATAGCTCACTAGCTACACTGAGCTAGTGAGCTATATCGGTTTAAATGTAGAATCGCAAAGAAATGTGATAACCGATGCCTCTTTTATATTACCTTGCATTCCGGCTATCGATCTTTTATTCCTTCGAAGTTCTGTTCCACACTCTTCCAGTGCGTAAGTGAAATAAGAATAWAAWAAAAAAAAAAAAAGGAAATATTTAATTAAAAGAAGTAGAACACAGCAAATGACTGACACAGGATGACTTAAAATTGGCCATACTTTCTCTTTCTCTTGTCGGTAAAACCATGTCATGAGAAATCACCACCATTCCAGCATTCTGAAGGAAATAGGTCAACCATGAATACAGGAATTCTGACCCCGTTCAGTCAAAATGTAAATAGAGAAGATTCAACTACTGAATAGCCTTTAGGCCAGAATTTTTCAATCCCCCGTTGTCGCATTCATAAAGCACACAATGAGAAAATAACATCGTAACACCCTTCAATGTTTCATACCTTAAAGACGTCTTTCGCGTTTCGCCCGCCTCCTGCTCCACATCCAAGATCAAGTTGTTCCAGTTTCTTAAACACCTAATAGTTCACATATAAATGTTCCATTAAAGTTTAGATTTTACCTAGTTTGTGTAAAAACTGGGTCTCACTAATGGCGCAAGCAGACGCAAGCATAATAAGCATATAAACACGAGCGCATGCTAACGCAAGGAAAACGAAATCTTCTCTTGCGCTTGTTTCGCTTCTTTTCATACCGAGAACATGGAGATTTTCTTCTTGCTTATAATGTAAATTAATTCCACTATGCATGGTTATTTAGTTTAGAGAATAGTCGCTACTGCATTTTAACTCACACTTTYTGGAATAAGCAAGTTCATTCTACTGAGAAGGTAAACACTCTGGTCAACACCAAGTAGGCTAACTTTAGTTCCAACGGCACCCAGGATTTTCAATTCGTACAAATGACCCGGTAAGTGATCGCCCTTTTCATTGAAAGGCACAAACAGGATCTGTAAGTTTAAAATATATGTGATAAGTAAATTGACGGATTTTGGTTTATTTATTAATCCTGGCAATAATGAGATAATATAAGGAAAGTTAAGGAAGACCTAAAAAGGACACTAGGTAACAGTGACCCTTCTTGAAATCGTTCTCAATCCCGCCACTGCATGCTGTCTCATCCAGCCAGCCAAATAGTCAGCCAACTAGCCAGCCAATCAGCTTTATAGCTACATATAGTTAACCACAGAATAAAATTAGACGTAATACACCATATACCTGATTTGGAAATGTGTCTTCAATTTCCAGCAAAATACTATCAGAAACGATTTTCTTTGTGGCCTTGTTTACATAATAGGCGACAAGACGAGCAGATGGAGACATTGACGATGTTATTTTGAAGGGAAGAGTAGTGACAATGCCAACGCCAACACGAGCATCAATTTTTCCATTGTAAACTATTTGTCCTCGCGATACGACCTGAATAAAATAATATAAAATAGATAAAAAACGAATTTAATCATTTTTCTTTAACAACGCTCTTGTTCAAAGTCGCTGGTGTTGCAAAGTTTAACATCATACTTACGAAATAAGAAAGCTGATTAACAGACAGGCTGCTTATTATAGCCTCACACCCAGCACTGTCCCCAATCTAAAGTAAATAAATATATGTGCATGATCCATCCAGATAAGTTGAGGACAAAAAAGAAGCCAAAGAAACCCAATGATATTATTACGACAGGGACGGCGGAGTACACTTAAAAAAATACCTTGGCAGGTTTATGCTGTTTTAGCTTCATCAATTCATCGGATTGTGATGCCTCCACTAATAATGTCTTGTAGGCATTTTGACCGTTAGCAATTGCCCCTTCACTTGCGTTTACCTATTACAAATATGAGTTGAACTGTATTTAGTTTATTCTTAAATGCCGAACTTCGCCCCAAAAGTTCTTATACTTTGCGTTTTCGGAGCGAACCAGTTAAGGAAGGTCATGAATACAGTGGCGGATCCAGGATTTTTCAAAGGGGGGTTCCGTTTCGTGAACTGTGTATAATTCTCTTTTGTTTAGTCGATGTTTGGCAAAACAATTGGCTCTAATAACCTAATTTACTATCTAGTAATGGGACCAAGCTATAATAACACGACCCAACGCACAACTACTAATATTTTTTATCAAAATTTCTATAAGACCGCATATTTCTATTGCCTAAAAGATCAAACCTTCAAGGGTGGTTCTGTGGACCCCTTCGACCCCCCTGGATCCGCCACTGGAATATATTAAAATAATTAAGTCTGTATTAAAAGTTAGAGTTAAATACCGAGAACGGAGGCAATAAGCCATATAAAGCCCGATTTTTCGAGGTATTTAACTTATTTAAAAGCGAGAATAACAATCACTAAAATATAACACTAAACTTAGAAAACATACGCTTATTATGAGTTTTCGAGCCTGGCTTGGTACGTTGACGACGAACATTGCAACTCCGTTATTGTCAGTGGTGGCGACAGTCTGGTCCACAGCTTGCTTAACGAAGGACTGCGACTCCAAGTCTTTGTCATTCTCGTCTAAACTTTTGGTTTCCAGTACTAGGTTTACATCTGCAGCATTTTCTTTATTAGGATATGTTACCCTTACCTGCCACGGAAGAAAGGTATGTGATATTGTGCAATCTTTTGTCGATAACATGTCTTCAACTAAAATTGGCCTGGAGTCGGGTTTGGCGTGCTTAATCATAAAATAAAACTGAGATAAATATGACGGTCAACAATTTATCTAAAATTTATTAATTTTCAATTAACTATTTCGTACAAGAGGTCCCTAAAGGCAGTCTTGCCACTGAATGACCTCTTATTTTTAGACAAAGTAATTATTACAATACACTAAAAAAGTTACGGTTTAAAATGCCACCGTGAAAATGTGGAATTTCTCCTTTTTTTTCTTTGTTAATCCTACTCCCAGAATACTTTCGAAAGTGGGTTATGGAAAAGTATTCAAACTTAAGCAAACTAGTATACTATCCTCAATATTTACCTACAGCATGCAGAGTAGCCAATCAGAATACAGGATTTGTACTAACAGTCAGGTTGATTTGTTCATTTCCGCTAACTATATCTAGTTGCTGCTTACCTTTAGCTGGAATGGTAATCCAGGCATGAAAAAGCGTGATGTATCAATGTATTTGATGCGATAGGGTGAAACAACAAAATATATAGAATCATCAACTGCCGTCTCTGTCTTGCCAGTCGATTTCTCCGTCACATCAGCAGTGATTTGAAGACGATGGCCTTCTATCGCTGGAAACCATTTATCTCCTAACAGCTTCTGTATATTTTCCACTTTTACATCGAATTTAAAGGTGCCTTTTCTTAGCTTGGAATATAAAACAAAGTGTAACAACAGTTATATTACCGACTTACGTTGTAAAACAATGAATAGCGAGGTACCCCCCATAATTACGTTATATTTTACACCGCATCATCACATTCTAATAATGTGAGCAGCTTTGATCAAATGAAGACCTGTAACGTCCACATCAGTATACATAAATGTTGACAAAGATACAGCCCATTGCAATAGCTCACTCACTGTTTCAGGACCGGGCTTTCCCCTTCCCTCTTAGCCCCCATTAAAATAAAAATGATGCAACACCTTCGAACTCAATAACAATGCATTATGTATTTGCAACTCGCAGATCTCATCTCAAATGTTGATTTTGAACAGGGGAGAAAAAACTACTTCCCTATATTAGGAGATGCATCTTTATAGTAGTAAGAGATAACGAATAGATCTAACAATTGCTGAACTTTACCAGTGATCTGAACGAATAAAGACGACGTGGTTCTTTTAGTATTCCCACCACGTCGAGTCGGACAGATACAGTGCCTTCTACGGTTTTTCCATAGGTGTATCTTAAAATCAATAAATATTTTCGTCAGTAACATTCATTGATTTTTGTAAGTTGTGTGCTTTGGTTGACTACTTGCACAGACTATTTGCATTTGGTTCTTTCCGCGAGTTAGCGGCGCTCTGAAAAGTCTACAAAGTTACGCATTTCAGTGTTCTAACCAACAGTATTTGTGGATTTAGAATATAGTGTGTTCGATCAGTGCTCAGTAGCCACCATCTTCAGTCATGTGGTGATTTCCATCTTTAAGCTACCTCAGTATTCCGGTATTTTGCGCATCCCTGAAATACGACTGTAGTAATTGAATACAAAAAAATAATGGCTTACTTAGCTTCAATAGAAACCTTCAAAGGGCTGCTACCAGACATAATGTAGTGTGGTCCTTTAATTGTGACAGAAAACTTCGGAAGTACTGTGTAGTCAACAAAACTTCATTAAAACCGATATCATTAGCCCCAAACGTGTACAACACCAATAGACAAGAAACTATTAAAACCATATTAGCAACTTTATCTTTATCGTTAAGCTTGAACATGGATGATATTGGCCATTTTATAAACGAGTAAGACACTGGGGCGATATTGAGATGCTTTATCAGATGGCAAAATTATTTTGCTAATTATTCAAAATCCAAAACTCGTCCTAGTCTCTTGCTCGTTTCTAAAGTGGCCAATAGACCAGTTTCGAGTTCCAAGTTACCGCTGCGTTTCTTGATTACAGACTCATTGACACAGGGTTAGCCTCGATTTTGTGCAGAATATTCACATGTTCCAGTCAAGGTCCGTTTTCCAAGTTTCAAAGTTTTCGTATTGTTGAAGTTGTGCATTCTTTTCTTTACTGTTGGTATTTATGAATATTTAAACACTGATGCGAGGCTAACCCTGTGTAAATGAGTCTGTAATTTGGTATTCGAAACTGGTATATTGCTCCATTTTGCTTTGTTTTTTTTTCCAACCTGCTTTCCTGATACGGGTCTAAGTGTTAATTAGACATTTACAAAGTTACTTACTATATTCTCGTACTTCAAACGTTTTTGACGTGTCGTGGACAAACTTAAACACAAAATGATAGTATATGATAATAATAATAATAATAATAATAATAATAATAATAATAATGATGATGATGATGATGATGATGATGTTAATGATGATGTTGATAATGTTGTTGATGATAATGGTGATGTTGATGATTTTCCACGATGTCTGAAGCTTAATCAAAGTAACTCAGCTCCCTAATGTTAAAGACGTTACGTTAGAGTCACTTACAAGATGACCGTAGTATACTTCTACTGTCCAGTTTCCAACCATTGCACTGGTACCCATATCAAGGACTTGGCTGATAAAACCTATTAGAATTAATACCAGCATATACATTACCAAATCAACTCAAGTATGACTCAAGTATGACTCAAATATCACATTAGGGAGCATTTGCATTGATGAAAGAAAATAGCTATTTTTATTTTCTCAAAGTCATTAGCGACATACATTAAATGCTTTCATCAGAAATGCCATCATAAATTCCATCTAGAAAAAAATTGATTTGTTTTTTATCTTTATGTTAGCCTCCCATTCAAGACAGAAGATTCTTTTCCCCCTCTATTCACTGACCAGAATCTGTAGACAGATTATTCCACTGGCGTACTCTAATGCCTTGAGGATTCTGAGGAAATTAAAAGGGTCTTATAGAGTTAAAATGTAAAAATAAAAGAGTTCAACCATCACATCAAATCAAACACGTATTATGATTTAAAATTGTTAGGGCAGACCTCCCTCACGATATATCCACCTTGATTTTCACGAGCCTATCCAGAAATATTTTTACACGTAACATGAATAATAATAATTGATCAACAATCTTACCTTTATGGCGAGATTAATCTGAAGTTTAAAAGGTTGAGTGCACGGGTTAATACACATTTCGTGATTATTAAATGTATTGCATTGTTTTTGTTCATATTGCAGTGACAAATCTATAGTTAATCATTTATAAAACTTTTTTTGTTTCGCGGGTAAAATATAACATTTCTGTTTATATCTTTTGCAAATGCAGTCTGTTAGTCTAAATTAATATTTTTTAGATTATTATATTTTTTGAAAAATAATGGCACAACGCTTAACTGATGCTGGTTAAATTTTTGTAATTTGCGGAACTTGTTAAAAAACGTAAAATGTTTTTAGTAAGTTTCAATCAATTCACTATATTGAAAGGTCATTAAATTATATTACCTTTTTCGTACTTGGCATCAAATTGAATCCAAGAGGCACTACACGTATTTTTACTGTTGATTGATTCATGCAATAAAAGTTATAAAATAACTTTTATAAATCTCGCGTTTTGATTTGTTGGGAACGCGTGCTTCATGAGAGCACACAGCACTCGCTCGCACTTTCAGTTTCGTCATTTCTGTAATTTGTATTTTATTAAGAGAAATAAACAATGTTGGATCAAAATGTTGGGCCGTTTATCAGAGATTTTATTCATCGATAAAGATGATACTTGACCGTGGCGACTTTGTTTTCAGTCCTCACGCCTAAATCCATAACTATTTTCGTTTCTTCCCCTTGTCCCCCGCTTTCCATGCTTTTTGGGACCCCAATTTTAATATACAAGAGAAGTACCAGAACTATTTTATTTTTCTATTTAGCTTGCGTTATTTTCAAAGTTCAAAGAATTCTTGCCTTTTTGAGTCGGTGTATAGATCGGTTTATCGGTCTGGATTAGAACGATACCATCACTGTAGCTTACAGCAACCTTTACTGGTTTCGTGGTAAACGTTTGGTGAGAATCGCTGATTTTTGCCAGAAGAAAGAATTGCCAGTTATTTCCTCTTGTCAAATAATCTGATGCGTTGTCTAAACCAACCTAATATAGTCAATGAAGGCAAAGAATTTTTGAAGGCTCGCTATTAGTAAGGAGACCTATAGCTTTTGCTCAGCTTCTATTTTTTACGATTTTGAATACAACAATTCTGTAATGGGGCTACTAGCAAGGAGACCTATACCTTTTGCTCAGCTTCCATTTTTTACGATTTTGAATACAACAATTCTGTAATGGGGCACGGCTGTATCGTTATAGTAACATGCAGCTGTTTCATTTCCCCTCAGTTGTAGGGAATCATCGAAAACTTTATGCGATGCCGTCTTTAGTTCCGGTGCTTTTGCTCAATTAAAATACCGGGCTTTTATTTCAAACTTATGACAAAAACCATCCAAGCAAAAGAAAAAGTTACAACTGAAATACCTTATCTAGTCTTCAAATTGAAAATATGTTTCCCCAATGTCACTTATTGCTTTTGTGCTGAACATGCATGTACGCTTAGAGTGTGCGAATCCACAAAGACAGCTATACAGAGATATGAGTCCTGAATATTATATGAGCCGTTAGCATTAATATTCTTACCGTTAATGACAACAATCCGCTTAGATGATCTAAAAACAAGAGGACATTACCATTATATTATTTGAATGGCCATCATGATGAAGTCATTTCCATCAGAGTACAGATACAATCAATGATTAGTAATACTCGATATGTATGATTTTTGATATGTACTATATCTCTTCTGATATTGCTTGTATGAAGAAAATTAATGAACAAAACAAAAGAGGAAGAAGAAGAAAGAAGAAAAAGAAGAAGAGAGGAGATGGCAGAGAGATAATCTCATTACAATAGATACAATAAGACAAGCATCTTATGGAAACCATATTTAACATTGCTCGTATCAATATCGTATTAAGGTAAAAAAAATTGTTTTGTTTTTCTTAGTCACAAAAACTCAGAGAAAAAAATGAGTATTTATGCTGCTCCACTTCAATACTGATTGTTAAACAAGCTAGATCGCTACAAATAACACKTACCTTTGGAGAAAACAGCGCGATCAGAGGAAATAGTTTTCCACTGCGGGTTTGCAGGGAGCAGCACTCGTATTTTGACCTCGACATTATGTGGAGATGTCACATCAAATAATGCAACATGGATCTTCTGCGGTACCCCAACGTAAAATACATCGGGAGCCATGATGACATGTCTAATAAGATTTGAAAGGAATACAATGGAAAATAGATGAAGCCATTAAACCCGTGAAATAGAGTGGTTTTCAAAAGCCTGTGAAGTACACTTTCGCGTATTACACTTTAATGCACTTTATTGTCCGTATTTTCTTTTGATTTTCTTTTGCGCCTTGCGAATTTATTACAATTTATTACACCTTGATTATATTATACACTTGGTTTCACTCCACAAAACCACTCTATATATTAGACTAATGCACTTTAGTAGACCTTAATTCCATTGTTTTCTTTTGTGTCTATTTGATTATTGCACGTTGACAAGTATTTTTTATTTTACGGGTAAAATGCCTTCACTCTATGACAATCGTGTGCGGATTTTCACAGAGTACGCTACAATAATTTATATGTGCGAATCAAAGGCAAAGGGATTCGGAAAATGATGACTTTAGAAAACCGTACTGTCGAACACCATTGGACATCTCAGGCTGTTATAGATAAAGCAGTTGATTTTAGTCAACGCACAAGTCCAATGCTTTTTCGAAGCGATTGACCCGTTTTATAGCGTTTTCGCCTGACTTTACTGCTACCATCATATATAAATATGCGCAAACAAAGTATACACATTTCGTAATATATTGTTTAGGTCCTTATACGCACTGAACCGACCTTGGGATAGATGCTGCACATCCTCCAACAAGCAGTGAAACCAACAACAAAATCTTCATCTTGCCGAAGACACTCTTCGCTGCATTTAGGGTCTAGCTATTGATTGCTATTCACGTTGAAACTTTCGGCTAAAGGTATCGATCGGTTATTGGCTCCTTTGTCATGGGATATCCGATAGGCTTTTGTCTAAATCTGATAGGAAGCATTTGATAGGTTATAGTTTATTCACTAGTCTCTTGTTCCAGACAGGCACAAGCAAGCAGTACCATGTCTTTCAACGAGTCCTTTTTTATTGATAGACTTTCATGTTTAGGACAAGACAAAGATCCTAACTCAGTGAAACGAATCAGCGGTTTTAGCCATTACAAATACCCATCAGCTTTTTATTAAATCTGAATAAGCTAAGAACAGTCTCGATTATGTATATTTTTTGTTTTTTTGTTTTGTTTTTCCACGCATATCTTCATATGATTCTACTTGATTGCTTTCCTCCTTTTTTGACCTTAACTGGAAGCCATGTAATATGGTACACCAGTAAACGAGCTTTTTTCCTGTTACCATGACCTTGGGTATAAGACAAACAAAACCTCGAACGTGCGCGAGAAATTATTTTTAGCTTGGCCTCGACTGGAAAGTGTAGGACAAACCCCCTGAGTAAATAGACGCCATACTATGCACTATATAAAGGTTGGGATGTTGTATGCAGATCGACTTCTTTCTTGGAAAACTTCCATATGGTCAAATTACTATGAAAATCAGGCACCCAGTCGTTTTTCTCTCGGTCCATCGGCTATCAAAATATGTCAGGGTGATAGCTTTTCTTACGCATCACGTGAACAAAATTTTACTGTCTAGCGCCTAATGTTTTCAAAAGTATTCGTCACGAAAGCTATCACGTGACATATTGTGATAGTCGATGGACCGAAAGACTGAAAAACTAAATCTTATAATAAATAATAAAATATTTTTGAGAATTATGAAAAATACAGTTTTTATCCCATTATTGTTCAGTATTGTTATCCAAAAGAAAAGACCGTCCCAAAAAAGGAACCACGAGGCTTTTGAGATTACTTTTGACTGTCTTTTCTGTACTTAGAATATAAAGAAATATATTTATTAAAATATATTTATATACACGCGCATGTGAATAACAGGATGTAAATATTGTTATTAACTGAAAGTGAAAAAGTACAAGAAACAAATATAAATATAATATTAATATTATATATATAGGGTCAAACGTCGAACTTCGAATTTCACATGAGCCGAACCTAATGACACTAAAAAAAGTTCCCCTTGTAATTCATTTTTTCAGTTGAAGTTCGGCGCATGTGAAGTTCGACGTTTGACCTAACCACAAGAGTCCAGTAAGAATATAATGTAATTTATATGTAATTAATTATTGAGTCAGTTGTTAACAGCTTGCAAGAGTAGAAATAAAGAAAGTTAGGAAGAAGCAGGACTAAGAATTAAGTACTCTAGTAATACTAGTAACTAGGGAGGTAGAACAAAGAATGCGCTAAAACCACCCCAAACTGCACTGCAATGCCAACTCGACCCAGTTTGTTTAATCAATGTCATTGGATCGCAGAAGTTGTTGCCATAGCAATGCCAAAAATCAACAAGTACTACGAAAACTGGCATGAGTAACCACACCAAACGAAATTAGGAAAATAATTTTCAAAATGACAGGAGTATAGTATCTTGAATTTTATTAATCACTGTAGCTTCACATTTTAAATTTAATTAGGAAATCATACAAAAATACTTCAAGATATAATTAACTAACCAGCCATGCCTAATAAACAAGATAAATATACATTTTTTGGAAAAAAATAAGCACTATATATTTTCTATTCCTTTTTTTTTTTTGCTTTGCTTTTTGTTTGTTAGCTGTACATGCGAGTAAGCTATTCTAAATATTAAATTTTAATTTCATAACGACTTATGCTTGAACAAGGCATTATTTTTTGGGGAAAAAAAGCTAGGTGAAACATGATAGAGTTTTCACTAATTGGAGTAAAAAATCCCTCCAGCTAAATAAAATACAAAAGCACTTTAATCCACACACGAGGCTTGGTTACATTTTAAATGGCAGAAAAGGGTAAACTGAGGTACACTGCATGCTACATTTATTGTTCTCTCATTTCTTACATAAATATATATATAAAGAATATTTTCTTTTTTCTATGACAAAATTATTTGATAATTTGGTCCTACGTTCATGAAGGTAGTGTGACCCTTTTGCTAGGTAAGTCTTTTTGTCCGCTTGAGAGGTAAACCAAAAAAACTTGTCCTATGCACTAGGGTCACTATAGCGTCATAAATGCGAAGGGCCTCGAATGATCATATAAAAAACAAACAAACAAATCCATTCAAACTACAGCTATTAGCCATTCAAAGGCTGAAGTAAAAACTCGGTCAAGTTGCTATTCCAGTGCATCGTTGGACTGCTTCAAGGGACGAAATAGACATTATTTTGTAAATATGTCCCCTAAAACAGTACTATATTGCACTGCAATGCCAATTCGATGCAGTTTTTTCCTCCGCGTTGGAATGGCGATGTGAAGCACATTTTGACTTTATTGCATGGAAAACATAGATCATTGTCTTTCGAACAACGTCCACATTTAAATGGCCTTTAATATATCGTTAACAGCAGCTCTAAAATTTATTTTAGAGCTTTGCGCAAATAGGCCCTCCTTGAACTTTGTGCGCAACTTTCCCCATTTCATAACTTTTGAGATATCTGTCCTTCCTTTGTAAATTGGCATAGAGCATGACAATTTCCTGCTTCAACCGTATCCTCAAGATAATGTTGTGGTTTGATATGGGAAAGCATTCCGCCTAAAAGGAATAGTAGAGCCTTGCAGGATATAGTTATCCTACAGTTAGATTTCGAGGACGAAATAATAGACTTCTCAGAAGATTAAAGTTCATTTTTTTATCCTTCAAAATTTGATGTGTATCGAAAGTTGATGATATATGTTTATAGACATAAAACTAGTAATTTCAAATTAACCTTCTTTTAGTTATCAAGAGACATGGCAGCTGTCTTGTCTATCTTAAGTTGAACGTGCAGAGTGCATCTAAGAAAAGTTGAAAAAATAGAACGGGATTGAAAAGAACAAAATAACAATATTAGCTAAATTTAAGGTACAGAAAAATGAAAGAGAAGGAGTACTAGAAAAAAAAAAAAAAAAAANAAAAAAAAAAAAAAAAAATTAAAAAATCAAAAAATCAAAAAATCAAAAAAGAATCATAAAACAGCAGGCAAAATGCAATAGCTGCAATGTCAATTGTACATAGGAAAATGCTTATTAAAATTCCTTTGAAAATATATTTTGAAATCACTTTGATAAACATGAAATGATACATTGAAGTTTATCAGTTACCTAACACAATAACTATCATATATTTTTTGTTTTGTTTTAGTTTTAAATGGAGTTTAAGTTTTATCGCAATACAGCGACATTAAATAATAGAAAGAATTACTTCTTCAAGCTATATTTTGGGTTTAAAGTCCTTTTTTCTTTGTTATAAAATTCACTTGTGATTCATTATTGCCTAAGTATTCTTGCTATGCAACACAAGGTTAAATAATTCATTATTATATGAACTGCTGATTTCATTTTTTCTAAATATTTATCACATGTCATCTCTCTTTTCCACTCTCCTAACCACCCTACACCCCACCCTATGTACTACAACCCCCCTCCCATCCACCACCCAAAATAACGATTGAGGATTTGCTTTGTTTGCTACTGAGCTTCGTCCAAAGGATAAACATTTTTTTGTCTTGATCCCAGATTGGGAATTACTGCAAGTGGTGCATATTTTATAACATGACTTCATATTGTAGGTAGTAGGAGCAAAAGAAAACAGATATTTACCATAACCCCTTCAYATGGATTTTCTTCGAGTTAATGTGCAACTTCAGCACACTTTAAATTACTATACATGAAGTCTGGCAAATTTGAACATGACTGGATGAAAAGAACCAGAATTATTGGCCTTCAAAAGTGTTGAAAATTTACAAATAATGTAAGGTCACAGGGGACACTTGTGCCCCGTAAACATACGTTCTTCTAAATTTTTCAGACTTTCGAAGGCTTGTAACTCTCGTTCTTTTTACCAAATCATGTTCAAATTTCACAGACTTACTAATATCGAATTGCTTTATCAGATGACGAAATTCTCGCTCCAGTCTCTTGCTCGTTTATAAAGTGCCAAAAAGACACCATCAGAAAAAAATAGTGTAACTGAATAAAATTAAAATATATCATCTGAGAAAAAAATACCGATAATAAAACACATTTGATTCTAATTAATTATTTTCATCCAAGGAAATCGGTTTTTAAACTACTAATAAAAAATATATCATTTCATTAAATACTATTTTGAAGGCAAGTAAATAATTTTGTGAAACTAGAATGGATTTAATTTTTTGATATTTTGACCAAAACTTAGACGTAAATCAGCTAATCTGGCCACTTTTATTAGCTAATCTGGCCGTCGTAACGAAAGTAAATTTTGAGAACTTACACAGAAAGCTTATTGTGGTTACATTTGCCTTTTTAAATAGGCGAGATTTCTAGATACGTCTTCCAAAACTATCTAATCAAGGCTAATTTTCCTTTTTAAAATCATCAGTTAATATTAATAAATCAGTTAGTATTTATAAATCACTTCAAAATATATAATGATTAGTATTTCAAATTTTTGATATCTTTTATTTCTCATAAATGAATTTTGTTAAGAGCTAAGTGGCTGATTGTTTAGACTAGTATGAAATTTATAACATATTTACTGTAAAGCTTCCACAATTTTTGCTAATACAATATTGACAAGGACAAACAATGTCTTTATACTTGTATTTGCTATTGTGTTATTGCAGTGATCCATTCTTGGATTACCTTTGGAAATTGTTTTTAAAAAATCCAGAATTTGCAAGAAATAGCTTCATAGTATGACGTCATAAACTAAGATGCTTTGCACAGCTTTCTTCAGAAGAGATGTGGCAATAGTGTGACGCCATCATTTAACACGACATTTTCCTAGTAAATGCTTTCCGAATACTAGCGAAAGAAACTAGCGGGCAAACCATATTTCTCATGATAATCGAAATCTTGGTTTGAGAACCAAAACTAGTCATGAGCCTAAAAAATACTAACAATGTAACATCGATTATATAAATAACTACAAGAAAAAACAGAGTTCTTGTATCTAATTGTCTAATTTTCTTTCTTCCTCGGGTATACGAGATGACAGTCTCAGAACCAGATTTCCTTCAACAATTTAGCCCTCCATGTGCCATCAAAGGAATGCGAGGTATAATAAAGGTTTTGAACAATCACGTGACAGCATCCGTGCTGTTTGGCAGGGACAACTAATTTCTTTCACAAAAAAATGTCTCATTCCTCGAAGAAAATTTTTTTCCCCTCTACGCCATCCAACATGGCTTCCATTACTTTATCCTTCGAAGTCTCTATGGCAACATTCGTTAGCATTCACCTTGCTTATTTATATGAGTAATGGTTTTTTTTCTTTCATTTTTTACAAAGTTTCAATTGTTATTCCTAATTACATATTATCCAAAGTAACAATATTAAATTGAACTTGTTAAATAGTTATTACTCTATTTTGTATATTGTCATTTTTTTAAGATATCACAAATATCTGCAAAGCATTATATGCATAAATAGTAAATGCAACTATAGAAATTTTTATTCAAAGTACAAAAATAGAAACTATTATTTTGGCAAAAGAATAGGGAATTTTTCGCCAATTTGAAAAGCTTGAAGATAAGTAAAGTACAAAACATCGCAAAAAATCTTTTTTTTTTCAAATACTAAATTTCACTTGATACCAAATCATCGTGATTGGTATTCACTCCTAAAATGTTGAGTTATATCTACTATCTCTATTGCTAGTAAATCATTCAACGCAAAGACTTTCATGGCGGATATATTTTAAGAAGTATAATGCGTACTTTCAAAGTCTAGATAAGTCTAGATCTAGATTTCTAGCTAATTCCAAATAATATCAATGAACTGTAAGTATTTGCTGCTAAATATTTGATAAATGGTAAAGTTACTATAAAACAGTAACATAAATGTATTTACTTCATAATGGACATCACTGTGTCATGCCCATTCACTACCATGACTGTACCTAAAATTATTGAACCTGTATCAACGCCATTAAATGAATTCAGGATCCATGGGATTAAGTTGAATATTCAAATGAACTTTCAGGCATACAATGAATTGACTCAGATGGCGGAATCCACCACCATAACTGTTTGACGTTAATATCCTATTGGCTGCGTTATATTATATGACCAATCCTTAAAAATGAAAGAGTTTGCTGCTAAATGAAACTGGCTTTCCTTTGATCAGCGCCTCGACTACGTGGATTCTGAGTGATGTCGGTTTCTTTAGATACATTTTGATGCTTCTTCTTTGCATTTAATTAGACATGCAATATATAGTCTTTGTTTTCAACGGTTACCAAATCCACTGTACGTACCCGAGTCTCCATGGCTTGAGGTCACTGCCACACTAGGTGCCTGTGAGCTATTTGGAAGTGTAGTGCTTAATGATTGTTGCCATGGATCTGAGCATTGTCTGAAGCCAGGAGGAGCGGAATCTGTGAACTGACTTGGTTCCAGTGACGTTTGCCATTGCTTAGAGGCAGACATTGGCTGAGGCCAATAATCAGATGGAGCGCGCACCCCGTTACCAACAGGAGAGGAGTAACGCCTTGGGTTTCGCTGAGGGTTTTGGCTCATTCGTATTCCCCTTCCAGCTGAGTTCTGACGTGGCCAGCCCGCTTCGAACTGTGATGGAGTCGGACTAAAAAGGTTTCACGAAATTAATTTAACATTAAGGTGTTAAAATTTACGAAGAGAATGAACATACATTAAGCAACAAGCATGCATCATCATGTCTTACCCAAAGTTTTGCAAATGCTTAAAGTCGTCCCCATTTCTTGCACCGTGCCTTCGTCCAAATTGATTCGACTTCTCTAAGCCATCAATATCTTCGTCAGAAGATCCAGACCTTACAGAGCTATAACTGCTACTTGAATTGTGCCTCTGGGCCGGGGAAGAGTTAAAGATGTTGTCAGTTGGCGATGCCCAACTCTGTGGAGAGCGTTTCCAGTCTCCATCCAGAGACAAATGGCGGCCCAACTTGCCTGGAAAATTATTTTGCTAAGAAACAAAAGAGAATTCGTTGCATAATGACATATTTAACAATTACTATGGATAACTTTACTTCAGTAGTATGCTGGTAAAAAGCGTTTTGGCTTTCATTTTATGGTGTTCGTATTTCCCTTTTTAAAAAGAGGTTGCCAAAGGCGATTGGAGATATAGGTGATATGCAATAGACAATTGGTCCTTCTAAGTCCAAAAATATAACATGTAAAATAACTTGTTTCTGTTTCTTATTCTCATTAAGAACATGTTCAATGTTGTTTGTAGTCGACGAAACCATTTTAAAGGCCTCGATTATTCGTGTTTAGATTTATGCCCATAATAGACCTTTTCGACTTGGGTTTAATGTTTTCCCATCAATTTCAGATTACGTGCCGTCTCTCGTAATAAACTTATTTGCTTGAGTTGTATCTATGTCCATGCGTCTTCACTTGCACAATTGTAAACAACGAAATTATATACTCTTGGGAATGAAACGTGGTCGGAAAGGGGAAAACATTACGCCTCTACCAAAAAGTTCCATTACTTTCCTTCTTAGAATTGAATGACCTATCTCATATCTCCTTTGGCTCCCGGACAACTTTTTTGAACAGGAATAACACACACAGCAATAGCACATATCAGCATAGCACACACACTACAGGAAATGATAAATATTCATATAAAAAAATAACAGACATTTAAAGTTAACATTTCTTCACCATACCTGTTGGTACTGCCATTGTTTTCCTCCTCCCTGTCCTTGTGGCTGTCCATCAATGCCACCATGTTTTCCAGGTGGCCCCTTTTTCGCTGCCTCAGAGACCGCATAAAGAGGGAACCGAGGAGGAACGTTGCCTTGCAAAAGACCTTCATTGATGTATTGAGGCGCGTTTGATCCATACAAGCGCGAGGGGTTATGAAAGGTGGAAGAAGGGGATGAATTTAAGGGAGGAGGTGCTGTTTCTAGTAAAGGCGAAGGAGGAGCGGGTGAAGTAGGACCATCTTTACCTGTTCGCTGCTGCAGGAAGAAAATGTGCTCTCGGTATTTGTAAACCTGTATAAGAATCAAAGATAAGAAATTACAACGAAAGGAATGCAATAAAAAAAGTTTTTACAGCACATTAAAGCCCAGATACAGGAAATCTTAACTTAGCTAGCTAGCTACCTGCTCTTGTAGGGAAGAGATTCTGGACTGCATAGAATCAAGGTCCCGCCTCAGTTTGTCTTTAATGGACAGCAATCTCTCTTTTTCCTTTCTTTCATTAAGAATATCTTCACGGAATGCTTCATTCTATCATTACAATAAAAAGTAATCAAATCTTTGCAATTACGGCAATCAGTTAGTATAAAAAAACAGGCGATTGGAAGAAAAGTGAAAGATGACTGATATGTGAGAAAGGGGTTTCATTACATAGTAATAGTGACTGGATCTCTTTCGTCGGTTGACCATTTAAATGTCTCACCACTCAGAAGTATTTATAAATGTTTTTGTATGTACCATGCAGAATGCTGAGAAGAGTACAGTAATGAGCAATTTCTCTAGGGAATCAATGCAAGGGGTCTATAGTCACCTCACACCAACGAAACGTAAACAGAGGCAACACAGGCCGTGATGTTTCGTGGTGCCTCCAAATTTTTATTGAGAGTGATTTGGCCTTGAGATAAAAGATTTCGCTAGAAGGAAATAAACTAAATGCTCCCATTTCGAGTTTGCCATTGAATAGTATTAAGCTTTCGGAACTGATTTACTTATATAATGAATTGGTAACGGAGCACAATACACAATACTGAATGCTATAAACGAACCAACGAACCTGTCTTTGCAAAGCAATGATTTGTTCGATCGTTGGCAGACCACTCTCCTGGAAAAGTTGTTTCACTCGTTTCAAGTCATCTGCACGGTCTTCTTGACTGCACTGCATTCTTACCAATTCTTCATTTTTGAGCTAGTATTAAAAACGTCGATTTGTTTTATCTCATCAACCTTTTGAGGGTTTGAAGAGGGAGTATTGGGTATATGTATTTGTGTTTAGAACCGAAAAGGGCGGGGTATGGTCAGGTATAGCTTGATCTTGAGTATTTCTTTTTCAACTTTACTCCTTGCAAATCATTTTCCTCTCAATAACTACCTCCCTCCCCTCTCATCTTGGGAACCTGACTTTTGGTCAATACACCTCACCTAGTAATTTTGTAGAAAAAGAAAAAAWATATATATATGTGACTGGAATATAGTTCTCATAGATCATGGTCGTTAATTACAATATTCATATATCTCTACAATGCCCAACGAGAAAAAGGATTCCGAACTTATCGTTTCAGATTCAGAGATATTGATAAAATACTCTTGTGACCTCTTCACTAACCTGCATCGACTTCATTGTTTTTGATAGGTTTTCGATCTGTTGTCTGAGCACTTTTTGCTCAGCAATCGAGGCGATCTTCTCGGTCCTTTCCCTTTCTGCTTGCATAAGAACACTGTCAATATCTCTATTTCTCCCTTGTTCACCTGACTGGAATTCAATGAGCATATTGTAGTACTGTTTGTTTTCTTGCTCGATTTTTTCAATGTGCATTCTCTGCATATTATCTTGTTTGCTGTAGTGATCAGTAAGATAATCAAGGTTTTCCCGCATCTGAAAATTGAAAAAACATATATATATATATCAGAAGTTGAATACCAAATATCGATGCCGGTGACTTCATTACAAGTTTGACTGGTCTAAAATTTGTATTATAAGGACGAAAGCTGAAAATGTCTAACAAAAGCTCCCGTCAGGCTTATCTCCATTGAGTTAAAAAAACGTTATATTATTTTAACTTTAGAAACACTAAATACAAAATAAATAAGCTTAAAAAAAAAAAGATTCCATGTAATTCTGGATACTCAAAACTGCCTTTTGCTTTATGATGAACAATTTTGCTGTTGTACAAAAGAGATCGACCAATCAAAAGATATAATTTTCGCGCCAGTTTTTGTGACGCGTTTGTACGCGYAGAACTTTTCGCGCAATTTTCGAGACGCGTCCGCTGGCGAAACATAAGTTCCCGGATGACAAATGAAATACACGAAAAGTTTAGTCATGAAAAATACTGACATGTTTGAAAAAAGGTTTTCTTAAGGTACTAAAAATATTAAATAAGACGAAAAAACTCAGAGTAATGAGAAATAATGAAATTGCAGTTCATGGAGACCTTTTTGATATAGCTATTTGAATACAAATTCCCAAATAGGAGGGCAAAGATTTCGGTTGTCTACAAGAACTGTAAGTTTCAAATTCAAAATTTTGTTTTACTTTAATGTTTTTTTGCAGAAATACCTTTGCCTTCTCTTCGTTGGCCTTACTAAGCTGTAGTTTAATGTCCTCCAGCTCCTTCTCTAACGCATCATAATCACGCTTTGGCACCATTTCATCTCCTTGTTGTCCATTCACCAAGTCATGCTCTGTCTTTCTTTCTTGAAGCTGCCCCACTTCGCCATCTTTGAACCTTTCAGATATTTTAATATCATTTCCTAGTAAATTCAGCTCTGTCTGAGTCTCCGAGTCTTTTTTAATTTCTTTTTTATCACGATGGCCAGTTGATATATTTTCCATGCTTGCAATATTCTCAATTTCTGATATTTCTGTTGCTGATAAGTTCCTTTCCATAAACGTTTGCAGTTGTCTTTGAAGTGACTCTTGAAGGGGATCTCTTGTCCTCAATTGTTTCTCAAGTGTCTTGTTTTTCACTATTAGTTCTCCAATCTTAGTACTCAAGCCTTCATCTCCTGTAATTAATTAAGACTAGTGTTAAGTCATGTACTACTGACTACTGACTACTGATATGACCAAATAGTCARTCTCGCTCTGATATAGAAAGGAAATGGCAAACTCATATCCTAATCTTATAATTTAAATCAAAATATACTGTAACAGCTATTTCCACTAATCTTTTCCTCTTTATCTTGTACTTATACTCTAAATTATAGAATTATTTAAAACCATAATGGTTATATTTAAAAACAAAGTTAGATTATTACAGCATACCTTTTTAAAGTATTATGATGATAATGATAATTTTGATAATACAAAAATTCCACCGATAATCACTTCGCCTTCTGCGAATAAATGTTTATAATTATAATTATAATTATACAGCTTCTCATTAATCCCATATAGGTAACTGTCCAATTGTTTTCTTAATTGGACAGGTCTTGTTGATATGRAATTAATTAGGCAGCTATATAATTAATAGGTAATGGGATTTCATGCTCCCCAATAAAAAAATTATTAGACTTGAAAAATTCCTCTGACTGCCAAATTGGACTCGGCCTACGGCCTCATCCAATTTTGTCAGTCCTCAGAATTTTCCTCATTCAATTATTTCTTAATTGGACAGCATGGAGTCCTATTAAATATACTAATGCCCTGTTTGGATCCATAGCTGGAAAAGAGTCATCCACACTGCAGATCCTTAAGGCAGGATTACTGGTAACTATGGGCTTTTTTAATTTGTTATGTAATCATGTTATTGTAAAGTGTACAGGTGTGTGGGAGCACACCTTGCAAGGACCTTAGAGTCTGTTTGCCTACCCCTTATCATACTTGTTTGCTTTTTTTGGGTTACACCTCAAGCATAATGAAAGTCTCTAAAAATCTAAATATTTAGCATTATAATTATGATTGATCACAGAATGGTTGACATGGATAAAATCAGGTAAAATCAATTCAAACTATCCTGGAAACATCAACATAGTTTAATACAATAAATTATTCTTTCATATCATGAAGAAACAATTCCAATAAATGTATGTATTATAAATACCTTCAAGAAAATTATTGTGAACACCTGAGTTCTGTTCTTCTTCCTGAAGATAGCTTACTTCATTCAGAAGCTCTTGATTGGACTGACTAAGTGTTGCTATCAGATCTTCAATGTTACCAAAATACTGTCAGAAATACAGAAAGAAAAGGAATTTAGTCACTTTCACTCTGCCTCATACTCATTATATATCAAGATAAAGTTGAGTGAAATGCATGATTTGGATATTATATGTAATGCATGTCCTTAGAATGAAATTAGACACAAAATATATTATTTGAGGAAACAGTACAAAATAAATTTGTTTATAAAAATCCATGCTTGCAATATTTCTTGAAGATGTAATATACCTTTACATTTTATAAACTATTTAGATTTCAAAATTGATAATGTTATTCCAGACTTAAATTGCAGTCGTTGTTTATTTATCTTGTGGGATTTTCAGCAAAATTTGGCTGATACATTTTGTTATTATGAATTCCTAGAAAATGATCCAAGTAAATTAACAATTTTAATTGGTTGTATTTGTTTTTCAAGGACTGTAAGCCTTCACTATAATATTATCCAGAAATTTATGAAATGGGTTTATTTAATCTTAACAGTCAGATTAAGGTGCAATAACAATTATTATGTGTGCTTGCAGGCAATGTCACAATTATATGGTGTGATTGGACAGATATGAAACACATCTGTAACATATACCTTATAGCTCTAACTATCACTTCAACATATTTGAATACCTCAGACATCAACCAATGCATATACAAAACACCTTTATTTCCTACAATACTTCCACATTAACCAATGCATATACAAAACACCTTTATTTCCTACAATACTTCCAATATTCCTTTAGATTCCAACTGAATATAAAGATGATCAAATTCAATGATTCTAGTATTTGTTACTCACCATTATCATAATGAATTTTGAATAATGTACATGCTTCTAAAATAGTATTAAATGCATCACTACAGTATGAAGCTTTGAAATTCTCTACGATTGAGTGCTAAGAAACATTACAGAATAATACATCAAGTTGCTGAAGCTAAAATTTACATACAAGATTATATATTAGAGTTCATTTCCTATAGAAAACAAGGGTCAATCAACACCTAGATCACTGACTCGCTTACTGTAATAAAAAAAATTAGCAACTCAAAGGGCAGAATATGAATCATTACCAGTTATTGTTCCCTTTTTCTTATGCCTTCCAAAATTTCTTAGCCTAGTTTTTCAGCTTTGTGAGAGATGAAAAAGTTCATTTCCACAAACAAAGTCATTGTCCAGCCTTATCAGCAAATAAAACAACAAGAAATCGAAAAACATCAAACTAGTGAGTTGTTGGTCGAACTTAAACTTTCCTTTTAGATTGCAGGAACCTAAAAACTCAAAATATAAAGAGTTTTGCACACGTTTTAACCAATTTTGGCAGCCTTTCTCTCTGATATTTAAATTTGAGGCCCGGGAAAGGTGAAATATAATAGCCATGTTTAATTCGATTAGTGGAAATCGTTTGAACGAAGTTGATTTTAATTGACTATGGAAATGGCAGTGACAAACTAAGTCGACCCTACATTGTCTATACTGAAAGCTACAGTAAGTAAAACTGCAGTAGCTAATGATAAATTGATTCTTAACATGGCATTGCGTTACTGTATTTCTTCTTTCAAGACAGAAGATATGCTAAAAATCTTAGCAGACAGCCATGTCAAAAAGCCAAGTGACCGAGATTGCGTGTACCATAATTGTATCAAAGCATGCAACCAAAAAAAAAACACAAATTACTTTTCACGTAAGAAAGCTATACGCGAATTAGTTGATAACAATAACAGATCTACATACTATAGAATGTGAAACTTACCATGCATGAAGCATGTACACATTTAACTCTATACAATGATAGTAATTGTATTTCATGCTCGGTTGAGCGACACAGTCCCGCACGCGAACAACACGAGCATTTAGTTCACGGTAAATTCACTTGGGTTTAAATCAAACTTAGTATTACTAGTATTACTATTTATTATCGATCGCTGAAGAAGAAGACATGTCAATGAAAATGATATGATATTTGGAATATATACATCTCAAGCCAAATGCTTCCAATCTGAATAAAGATATTGTTTGAGTTTGCTCAAGCATATCGAGAACTTAAACGTAAACTAATTGGTAAAGTATATAAAATCACTCAAATGAATCCGATCAAGAGCCAAAATTGAGCCAAACCATCCAGTTAATTTGCGCATCGTGAAGGTCTTAGGGTCTCGAGAGGTTGTTGCCCGGATATTTTGCCGTTCATCGAAGCAGACAGCATAAAAAACATCAATGTACATAAGCTTGTAGTTTTTACAACATGAAATGAACAAGTTGCTCAATGCGATCGCTACTTACTCCGCGTTCGTTTCCTAGCGGAACAAACCAGCATAAAGTTTAGTGGTTTTTGTAGGAATTCAAACTTGTAAGATTAAAACCAAGACTGCACTAATCGATGTCTGCTCAACAGAGCCAGAGCTCAACGCATTCATAACAAGAATGATAGACACCAACCCAGTGTAGAATCTTAATTAAGCAAATAAAAAAAGCAAACTTACATGGTTTGTTCAGTATAAATAAAAAACCCACGTGGTATACGAGATCTACCATCAAGGAATAATTCAGACGTTCTTGGATCATGCAATGACTAGGGCGCCCACTTTTATAGAAAGCGCTCAAGTTTCAATCTAACATTTCGTGTCAACATAAAAAATACCCCAGCTTGGGCCTGCGCTCTAGAACCAGGGAGTCACTGAATACATTCCTACACTGGTTTAGAATTACAGGCCCGTCACAGCAAAAATACTTATTTAGGACAATTTAACTAAAACGTGCATCCGTACCTCTTGTCCCAACGTGTCCTCGCCTCGAACGAAGCAATCTTCGTTCTCGTAAGAAGGCGAATTTCTGGTCATCCAGTAGTAACCCTGCTGCTCCAAATAGACATTTTTCGTAGTTTCTGTTGCTCTTCCACTCGTGTCGCTATATTCGGCATCCCTTTTAGGCATTGCCGTTGAGCATTCGCTGCTCTTTACTTCTCCATCCCTAGAAAATTCTGAATCATTTGCTTTTTGTGGAGAGGGAACACACTGATAAGGATCTAGCTCATGAAGCTTCAAAAGCAACGCATTTCTTTGGCGTAACAGTCCCAAAATTGTAGCGTATCCGTCGTCCTTCGGTTCTTCGAATTCGAGAGTGTCTCCTTTTCCTCCAATCTCGCAGTCATAGAATTCTGCGTTCGTGTCATCATTCTCAGGTGGACGCCATGGGATAAGACTTGGTCGTTGCATGTTTCAGGATAAAATAGACTTCTTCATCGTTCGACTGAATTTCTCAGGCAAGCAACTGAAAATGGCGGTCAGTTTTTGATGCGTAAATGAATGCTGTACCTTTTTCTTGTCAACTGACCGGTGTTTTGGCTCGGTCTACCCTTCCCCTAATCATGTTATGCATCGTGACCTTGAAACTTCACCGGAAATGAAAGTAGGGCAAAATAAGGGCATATTTTAATTGGATGTCCGCTGGTCATCCGGAAGTTAAGATTTTTAAATAGAGGCCTGTACCAAAACATACAATCAGTATAAGATAAATTTCAGTATCTTCCTTCATATTTTGAAACCTTTGCATTATTTTTTTAATTCTCTTACCGAATAATCTCGCTTTCGGTGACTTCATACTTTTATCTTAATCCCCATCATTTCTTGCTTCTCGGCCTTTGATTGATTTATTTATTTTTCAATCCTATACATTACTCATATAATCTATGTTGTTCTTATGCTTTACTATTTTATTCTCTCATTTCATTTATTACCCATTCATTTAGTTATTTCTTTTATCTAGGTTACCATTCGCGAGGTGCTGGGTTCGAACTGCGCAGTAAGTAAGCAAATTAACTTCGTACTGCGCACAACAATTTCATTCCAGCTGCGCATACGAGTCCCATTATTTTTTTCCAATGAATATTTAAATTCTTCATCTTTATATCGCCTGGAATTGGACAACGTTCGACTAATCAAGCTGAAGTATCTCTAAGAACATTTTGATCCGTCCAAGGATGGCTCGGATGGTCGTTTCTATTTTAACGTGTCTTTTAGCGATATATTGGTACACAAGTATATTACACGTGCAGGGTACTCTATCAAAAACCAACAAAGAAAAGAAAGCCAAAGCAAAGAAGGTAAAAACTAAAGATTATCTAAATTTGTAACAAAAATAATATAAACAGATGGACGGTTATTTATCTGCAATTCTCCCATGGAAATTCTTTATGTCCAAACCTATTTGCTAATAAAGACTCTAAGATAGAGCATCAAGTTCAATGTTGTAATCTTACATTAAGTTATTTGTAATTCTTCTACCGGTGCTCGTACAGATGTACATACAAGCGATGCACAAATTATGTAGCCAACATAAACTATAACGTAAATGAGTGGTAAACACCTCGTGCATACACTGAAAGTGTTTTTGTGCATTTCAACAAATCTCGAATATTTTCAGTCATAAAGTTTAGTAATTTGTGTCTAAGACGACTCTTGTAGCTTCTGTCTAAATCGAATTAATAAACATTCGTGATCTTGAACTTCCTATTCTATCGATCTTAAAAATTCACTTTATTCATTATGTATGAGCATTTCTATCTTTTCCTTTCTGAAATAGGAAGTTTAAATTAAAGAGCTAGCTATTAAAGAACTAAACATATCCTTCCTTCACATTTTTCATTTTTTCCCCTTCTTTTCTCTCTTCCTTTCTTTCTGACTATTCTTTCTTTTTTTCTATTGTCCCTTTTTCATAATTTACTACATACATTCATTCTCAACTTCCCTATTTTGAGGGAGGTAATTTTTACTTATATTTTTCTTTCTTTTTTCTCTTCATATTACATTCTTTCTTCTTTTCAATCTCAATTTTTATCACAGGTAATTAGACTGAGATTAAAAAAGAACAATTACTTCTCCATAATATTTGCCATTTTGTCATCTGAGATATATTTCTTTCACGAATAAAGTTGTTATATCTCTAAAGTGTCTGGATACTATTTAGGAACAAGATTCATCACGCATTTTTATTAACTTTACTACTTCCTTTGCTTTTTGTTTTTCTTCTTGCATGCAGAGTGGACCAGCTGATTTGAATGTTACAGCAAGAGGTCTAGTAACTGAAAACCCTAGAGTAAGAGATGTGATAAAGCATCATAACATCTATTGTAAAGATGTCTCATCCAAAAATTTTGAAGGTGATATTCTGGTCTATGTTACACCTGTAAGTATATAATTTTTACTCTCCTATTTAATTTCTTCCAACCCAATAATGGTGAAAATACTGATAATAACCATGATATTTACTTGCTTATGAATATAAAACATAGTAATATCGTATTCCTTTATTTTACTTTACAATTAAGTGAATCTTATGGATATTATCACTGTTTTGTTATTATAACTGTGTGGATCTAGACAAAATATGTGACTACTGGTATATTAACTCTACTCCTACCACCAAATGCTTCAAGACAAGGCAAGACAACGTATTTTATTGGCTCGGTATAAACATATTTACATTGGACTGCTGCCAATAAAAATATAGAATA